AGCCTCCTGCTCTCTGCTCTTTATCGAGATTACCTGAGTGAGAAAATAACTCTCAGAAGTCCACTGGCACATTGATCAATCAGATCTGCCTGAAACACCCTCTCGTTCTGCCTGCAGCTTGTGTATAGGATGGCAAAGACAAATAACCTGACACTGCAGCTTAATAACACTGCTGGCTGTTCCAGCTGCTTTCTCATGCAGCTTTGTTTGATTATTTCTTAACTTTAAAAAGGTCAAATCTGGAGGCTATGCCCCCCCCCTCAAATCTGAAACCTCTGAAAAACTGCCTGTACAAGCCCTGGAGAACTGCAGAGCCCCGAGGAGGTGACACTGCTGCTTATCAGCTGCATACCCTGGTTTGGCTGTGGCCTTTTGGGTGGGTTGGCCCCATAGACAGCGAGGCTACATTCAGGAAGAGCAGAGAGCCAGAACCTCCTGTGGCTGCAGCTCGAATTCGCATCCTGGAATACAACAATGAAGATGGGACAAATATACTTGCCCCTTAAACCTCCAGACCATCCCGTATTTGTGGGATTTCTTGCCAAATTATTCTCTGCAGTGCCTGCTCTCACAGGCTCACCCCCTGGCTCCTGGCAGCGCAGTCCAACATCTCACCTGTGCTTACTGAGCAGTCCAAATGTGCTTTGCACATCACTTCCACTAAATGATCGCCTCCAGAACATCTGGACGACAGATGTTCTCACAAGACTATGATAGAGAGCCAGAGGGTATTTTAGAAGTGAGTGGCTATGGTGCTTAGGTTGTGGAGCACAAGCAGAAATGCTGTGCTGGGTATCCTGGTCCCTACAGAGGAGCCAGAGAGAAGAAGGTCTAACCCAGCTGACACCGTAAGCAAGGAGAAAACAGCTGCCAGATCCAGTGAGCTGGCAGAAAACACTCACTGTTTGTCTCTTACTTAAGAGCAGAGGATGCCCCCATACATTTGGGTGGAGTTGTCAGTCCACAGGAATATTGAGTCATTTAACAGGATACCTCAGGGATAAGGCAAGTGTGAATAGTCCTGCTCACTCCTACACACTGTGTCCCCAACTGTAACCCCTCTGTACAGAGCTGTACAGAGAGAAGATCCCTGCTTCTTTTCTTCCCAGTGGCACTTCTCAAGTGCACATAACCCAGACATGTTCCATCCCAGAATCATCTGCCCACAGTAAAGGTGTTATAAAATATATTATATAGAAAAAATCACTTTTGTATATCAGAGTACTTCACTTGACCACATTTTTTAATGCCTGGAATGGATTTCTATAAATCAATTCTATCACTTGATTTTTTGAAACATGTACTTACACATAAGAAGCTTAGAAACCTATTTAAATGGGTCTATGTTTCAAAATGTTTTATTATACAGGCACCTAAGATTTATTCTAACCCTCAAGAGAGGAAAAAAATCTGGGTACAAAGTCTAGACTCATGTACTGAGTCAGAAATCCAGATCTTCAGGCATTCCAGAGTTGCCTGGTGTGCTAGGCAGAATAAATCTCTGCTACCAGAATATGGGGAAAGCTAGGAGTGATTATGCCTGCATCTGTAACATTTTACCAAGTAGAAATCTGGTCTGAGTTATACTTTTGCTTTCAGTCTTTAACAAAGTGCTGGCTACTATAGGTGGTTTGCATTTGGGGAGGGAAGGAAAAAGCTCAAGTGAAAACCAAAGTTTACAGTCAGCTAGACCAAAGAATCAAGAATAAATTTCACCTAGCTGCTCCTTAAAGAAATCAGAATAATAATTGCCTAGAAACCCAGTACCTTTTGGAGTGCAAAATAAAGACTGAATAATAGATGGTGTAGTCTGATAGTAAGCAATCAGAAATCAGACTGAAGGATTTTCTTACATAGCTCTGAAAATCCTGAAGTGTCTAATGAAAACGGACTCAAAATTTCATTATTTAAGCACAAACAATACAGTAATAAAAACTGAATGCCCAGAGTGCTATCAAGAGGGTGTTTTATGGACTGTAAGCCACACAGTGAACTCTTCAGGAAAATGCTTTAAAATTAGAATTTCAACTCTCACTTCTTAAAGACCTCATTAACATGTTTCTCACCCAGACTGTTTGATTGTTTCCCTGAGGATTTGGGGAAGTGCAGAACTGCAGCCAAGGAGACACCCAAGAGAGAGGAGCTGCTTGGCTCTGCAAAGAGCCTGCTCAAGGAGCATGGATAGAACAGTTCTCTCCCAGCATGGCTACTCCAAACCCTTGTGTCCACAGAAAGATGAAGAACTGGAGCCTTTCCCAGCTCAGCTCACACAAACTCCAGGAGGACTTGCTGCCCTGTCCCTGGATGACTGTATTTCAATGCTTACATGTGATTTAGTAGTTTTATTAAAACTGTTGAGAACAGAGCAGGGGCTTGAAGAGACATAGCGTGATTCCTGTGAGTTGGAATCCTCTAGAGATGAGAAGCTGAGTAACCTGTGGGTGATTTACCCTTGAGAGACACTGAGTAGCTGTTAAGCAGTGAGTAAGGAAGCTTTCCACCACCTCGCTAGGATAGTGGTGTGTTTAGCTGGAGTAATAAAGTTGCTTTGACACACGTAACTGATGAAGCTGTTGAGGAAGGAAAGCTGTTTTGACTCTGCATGTCTGGCAGTTCTTGGCAAGGCTGGGTAAAAACAGCATTTTTGTCAATTAAGCATGACATGAAAGCAAATCAAATTGCTCAGAGCCAGGATAACGTGGTGTGTGAGCTGACAGTGGAATCAAAGGTAGTCCAGGTGGGCAGGTACCTAAATGAGCTGGCTGGGAGGGAAAAAATTGGACCTTGAAAAGAATGGCTTTGGAACTGCTCACCCAGGCAACACCTTGCTGCCCTGCCATTTGGTTTCTCCCATGTTGGGACCATGAGGCAGACAGCTTTGTGCACATTTGACTAAGAGCACAGCATTGTGTTTTAGTGGAACAACTACTTTTAATTCATTGGGGTTTTTTGCTTTTGCTGGGCGGAACTGCCAAAAATAACCAAATACCACTGTATAGTGGAAGAAACCCACTGCAGCTGAGCTCTTTGTGGGTTTTGCCTCAACGAGCTGCAGCAGCTTGAAGAGGCACAGGAAGAGAAGCACTGAGGTGGGGGGCAGCAGTTCCTCTTCATCTGCAGGAGCTGTACACGTAGCTGGTAAAAGCCATGCCCGGATGGAGCACAGCAGCCTCGGGATGCTGGGACTCTGGCAGACACTGCTCCTGCCAGGCTGGGCATTTTGGCACCCCCAGCACAGCAGCTCTGCCACGGCTTTTGCTGTGCCCACAGGCACAACTCGGCCTGCATCTCCTCACTCAGAGCACAGCCTTACTCTACAGCTCTCTGAACTCACACCAAGTACTCCAAGCAATCCAGGAGTAAGCACTGCCAAGTAGCATTCCAAGAGAAGAGAACGTGGGGAACACTTGTCAGAATCCAGCCTTTGTTGCACATCACAAAAAAAAAACCCCTAGTCTTCAGCCCCCAACTTGCACTGAGATGTGACATTACTGACTGTGAGGAGAAAGCACTGCCCTTGGTTGTGCTACAGGAATATGAGAAACACAACTCCTGGTTCTGCCATTTAGACCTCTCAGGACCCAGCAAAATCCGCTGCTGTGTTGCTCAGTCCCTCTGCTCAGTACAAATGACTGCAGTTGGGGCAGTGAAGTGGAGATGGAAACAAATGCAAAGTAAGAGGAAACATTTTACATTTCAATAACCTCAGAGAGGAGAAGCCAGAGTTGGCAGAGAAGCAATGTGTTTACACATCACCTTAAGATTTCTGTTTCTCACAGCAGGTGTAATGAAAGAGTGGGTTTGTTAAAACATTGACTTCTTTTGTTCACTCATTCTGATCAGTCAAAATTGTCTCTTTAAAATATACGTTCCTGTGATGAAGAAAGCTTAATGCTTAATTAAAACTGTGTTTTAATGACCGGGCTACTAAATGTAATTGCAAAGCAAAAGTTAACTGGATTCTTCAATGCAAAAAGTAACAATACCTGACAACACTGCCGTACTCACCATCACGACTCCATTATACGGATTAGTCATTATTGATAAAACATTTTCCATACCTAATGAATCTAAATGCAATAATGAGCTGTGAGCTTCTTCCTCTACAATAAAGAGAAAAAACGACATTTCTGCTCAGAACACACCTGGCTTCTTAGAGAACTTAAAAACTGGCAAAGTTAAGACCGCTTAGATGTTGTATTCAGGGGCAAGGTTTTTCAAGCATGTCCAAGAGCAGCAGATAGCCACAGAGTAAAAAAAAAAAAAAATCCTCCCACCAAAACTCATAATTTGCTTTACAAAGTGCTGCTCTTCCTAAACATCTATGGGATAGGAAAAACTGCAGCTGGCTGCAGCAATACACTGAGAACACTGTATCGTGCTACCTCTGGAAGACGCGCGACTTCGTGTGCCTTGCTGCTTTCACACATACACATCCTAACTTTGCCAGCAGTTAAAGCCGCTACCAAGTTGAGCGGCCAGGCGCGGCGAAAGCCTGGCTCTCGTTCTGCATCTCCATCAGCCCGCTACTGCCGGCCCCCGCGCCGCCTTTCCCGGTACCGAGCCATTCGCCCGGCGGGCGCATCCCGGCGCAGGCAGCGTTTACACGGGCAGTCGCCAGCCCCGTTCGCTCCTCCGGGCCGGCAGAGTGAAGAAGCCGCCGGCAGCAGAAGTTTGCTGGAGAGGGACGGGGCTCCCGCAGCCGCGACGGCCGGCGCTCCTGCGAACCCGCGGGAGCCGGAGCGCTGCGGGGCGGGAGCAGCGCCGGTGCCCGGCTCCGTGCAGCGAGAGCGGGGGGTTGGAGCAGCGGTGGGACCGCGACTCCCGGGACGGGAGGGCAGCGGGGACAGAGCGACCCGGACGCGCTGCGAAGCCCCGGTTGCCACAGCAACGCGGCGGCGCCTCTCCCCAAACTTTGGTCGCTATAACGACGGGGCTGCGGCCGCGGCATCCCCCGGACGGGCGGGTCCGCTCCGCGGGGCCGTCGGGGCGGCGCTCACCTATGGTGGAGACGACGGTGCCCACGAAGTAGAAGGCGCCGGGGAAGTCCCAGCGGGGCCGCAGGGCGTCGACCCGGATGCCCGCGGCCATGGCCGCCTCGTAGCTCCGCAGGAAGGCGCGCAGCTCCGGCAGGCTGATGTTGAAGATGCGGCTGAAGTTGTGGAGGGTCCGGTTCCAGCGCAGCTGCGCCGCCGCCTCCGACGGGCTCTCGAGGGCCGAGAAGACGGTGGCGCCGGCGCTCAGGTACGCCGCGATGAGGGCGGCCAGCAGCAGGAACCGCCCGTTGTCCTCGTTGAGGGGCGCCAGGCGCCGCCGGCGGCAGGAGCCCACCGCCCCCCGCGGGGGCATCATCCGGTGCGCGGCGCGGCGGGCGCGGCGGGCGGCGGGCGGCCCCCGGCGGGGGGCGCGGGCATGGGGCGGCGCCGCGCGGAGCCCGGCGCGGCGGCGGCGGCGGCGGCTTCGCTGCAGGGGCCGCGGCTCTGAGTCATCCCCCGGCGGGGCTGCCCGCCCGCCTGGCGACGGCGGCGCCCCGGGGCCGTTGGCCTCGCCCGCCCGCCCTGGGCCCCGGGGCCGCGGGCAGCTGCGGCGCGGGCTGGGCGGCGCGCACCGGCCGGCTCGCTCTGGCCATGCGGGGCGGCGGCGGCGGCGGCCCCGCCGCGGGGGAGACGCCGCGGGGAGGCGGAGGCGGAGGCTCCGCGCAGCGCCCGGTCGACGGCGGGCGGAGGGAGGGAGCGTGCGGCGCGTCCCCCGGGGAGCCGCATCCCCGGCGGGGAGGCTCCCGCAGCCCCGCTGCCGCCGCCCGCCCCGGCCGGGCCGCTGGAGCCGCCGCTGCCGCGCCCCCGGGGGGCTGCCGCGCCCGGCCGGGGGAGGGATGGGGCGGGACGGAGCCGCCCTGCCCTGCCCTGCCCAGCCCAGCCCTGCCCTGCCCTGCCCAGCCCAGCCCTGCCCTGCCCTGCCCTGCCCTGCCCTGCCCAGCCCTGCC